AAGAAAAGAGGCAATGCAATCTGGTAGAAAGAATGTGGTTTGGCCTTAGGTGAGATTTTAAGTCCAGACTCGGCCACTAATTATTTGACTTCCACAACTCCTGCGAGCCTGTTTCTTTACCTGTCAAGGGAAAAGAATGACACTTTGGCAGTGTAGAGTAATGTTGTGAATGTGAGAATGGAATTCCACTCGTGTTCCCTCTGCACGTTCAGGCAGTGTTCCACTTGTGTCCCATCTGTGTACCAGCCAGAGCTCCTGCACATTGTGTATGCATGCCTTTGCTCCCTCTTTTCCGTGACAGATGCAGCCCCTTGTACTCCAGGGAGAGCAGGCTCCTTCTCTCAGGCTGGAGAGAGAGACAGCAAGGGGAGGCAGCCAGTGGAAGGTCAAGGGCTTCCCTGGCCTATGACCCTCGCCACCCCTGGGTGTGTCTTGGGATGGGGTGAGGCAAAGCCTGAGTCTGGTGTCACATTCCTAGGGCAGCTGTTTGTGCTGCAGCTTCTTTTACCATTTCTTTTTGAAACTTCTTATGGACGTTAAAAGCATACATACCAAAAAAGGCACATAACCTAAATGTACAGATCACATTTTATAAACTGAACACACCCATGTAACCAGATCATTCATTCTTATTGCTGCCTGATAGTCCACTTTGTGAATATACATTTCATTTTTCCATTCTACTGTCAGTGGGCATTTGGATAGCTTCCAGGCTGTTGCACATGTCTTTTGATGAGAATGTGGATTTCTTTTTTTTTTTTTTTAAAGATTTTTTTTTTTATTGGGGAATTGGGGGGATGGGAACGGTGCTGGGGAATTGGGGGAAGGGGAACAGACAAGTTGCTGTCGTTTTGTTCTTCAATCTAGTTGTGGAGGATGTTGCTTTACTGGCCCAAGTTGGCACCATCATTGCGCTCTTCTCTGGCGAGGCAGATCAGTCGCCGGCTTCTGGACAGCCGCTCACTGCGGCTGCTGGCCGCTCACGCTGGCTGCTGGCTACATACGGTAGCCCATGGCAACCCACTGCCACAGGGGCTGCAGCCTATGCCGTCGCCGGCGACTCATGGCAGCCCAGCTCCAGGTTGAGCTGTTGTTCAGCATCTTAGCTGTGGAGGGCAGTGTCACTGGCCCTCATATGTGGGATCCGAACCGGGGCCCTCTGGCATCCCAAGCGAATTCTTAACCATCGCGCCACTCGGCCGGCCCTGGATTTCTTATGAGTAGATACTTAGCAGTAGAATTGCTGGGGCATAGAGTATGCATATATATTCAGTTTTAGTAGATATTAACCCAAATGTTACCCACCAGCAATATTTAAGAATTCCGATTGCTCCACAGTCTCACCAGCACTCAGTATCTTCTGTCGTTTTAATTTTAGGAATCCTCGTAGATTTTATAATATTTTGTGGCATTTTGGAAATAGAACCATTCCCTTAGCCCCCCAAACCTGAAATTCTAAACTTTCATACATTTTCATACAAAATTCCTCAAGAACATTTAAAATGCACCCTGTACAAAATCTGGGGATTATATCAGATATAAAGCCCCTTTCACGGTGGTTGGTATATGGAAGGAAGACGACAATTGATAGCTGCTTTTATTATTATCATTATCATCATCATAATCACCGCCATCACTGAATGCCTTCTCTGTTCTTCAGGGGAGAGAGCAGGACGTGGTGGACACAAGGCAAATAAGACATAGTCTCGGGCCGGCCGAATGGCTCAGCTGGTTAAGAGCTTGCTTGGGAGCGCCGGCTCTGAGCAGCAGGGCTGCAGTTCAGATCCCACATGAGGGCCAGTGATACTCGCCCTCTATAGCTAAGATGATGAACAACAACTCAACTTGGAGCTGGGCTGCTGTGAGTCACCGGTGACGGCGGAGGCTGCAGCAGGGCTGCAGTGGGCTGCCATGAGCTACATGAGTGGCTGGCAGCTGGTGTGAGCTGCTGAGAGCCGCTGTGAGCGGCCGACCAATGACCGGTGACCGATTGCCTCACCTGGGAAGAGCACAATGATCATACCAACATGGGTCAGTGAAGCGACGTCCTCCACAACTAGACTGAAGAACAAAAACAGCAATTTGTCTACCTGTCTGTTCCCCTTCCCCGATTCCCCAACGCTGTTCCCCTACCCCAATTCCCCAATAAAATCTTAAAAAAAAAAAAAAGACATAGTCTCTGCCCAGGAAATAAAGATGTAGTTGAAGGGAGCAACATTAGAAATGGATTATTAACAGATAATGGACAATGTGATAGGAGCTTGGGGAAGGAGATAGTGTGTCAGCTGGAGCTTGAAGAATAAGAGTTCAACAGAAAGAAAAATGGGATTGGGCTGGAGGAAATGTCAGGGGCACAAACCCTTGGTGGGGAGCGGCAGAGCAGACCGTGTGCTGGAGAAGGGCCCATCTAAGGCCCTTGGCAAGCTGGTCTCGGTTGCTCAACTATCATCACCCTTGCATGGCTGTGGGGAGCTGAGCTGGCAATATTTGGGGGTCGGAGTGAAATTACAGTACTTGAATGATGTATTCTCTGCACCCCTCTTTTACCCCTCTTCTCTTCTGGGAGAATGATCAGCCTTCCCCTCTCTCCTGGAGGCAAAGCCTGCCCTGAGTGCGAAGCTCTTAAAAACCACCGCTGACGCTTTGACAGCTGCAGAATATGCCGGGTTGCAAGGATCCCACAGTTTCTCTGCTGTGTGGCCCTTTGGCTGTTTATTTTTATGCTGAGGCTTAACTTGGAGTTTTTATTTTTGCGTGGTCCCATGTTGCTTTACGATGGCAATGAAGTTTAAGAAAATGCTTTTCTGCCCGATACCACATGGAGACAGTTAATAAATATTCCTGGGGAATTTTGATGATGATGATGATGATGATAATGCTGAAGATGATTATTAAGAGCTCATACATTCTTTCATTGATTAAGCACCTACTGTTTGTTGGTCATTGCAACATAGCAATATGGAAGATGGATGTGGGTCCTGTCCTCATTGAATATATAATCTAGTCAGGGAACAGACAAGTACATGGTTGGTTCTACCACAGTGTGATAAGGCTGTGATGGGTGGAGGTGCAGAGTCCTATGGAAGCACATCAGAGAAGCACCTCTAGAGGTCAGGGAGGGCTTCCTGGGAACACGAGAGAAACCTGATAGCCTCTGGAAGGGAATTGGGGAGGAAGTATTCCAGGTGGAAGAAACAATGCATAGGAGAAGCTCAACACAAGGGAGAATGGCTGGTTGGAGAAACTGGAAGAAGTTATTGGCCTAGAGCACAGAGGATTTGAAGAGGAGAGGCGAGACACTAGTAATCAGTCATAATACTGTTTCCTATTGAAGCCAGAGTCTGCCTCGGAATCCTTTGCAACACAGCACTCTGTGCAACTTTTGCATCGATAGATAAAAAACTGTCTTCCATCCTTTATTTAAAAAATAAATGCATTCCCAGAACCTTGGGTACTTTCCTTGTCTTTTATCTTTTTGTACTTTACTATTTTTAGAAATCAATTTTTATATGAATATAGGAACCTGTGAACTTCCTGAGAAAGCAGAATGTGGTAATGTTGTTTTTCAAGAAGTTGCAACTTCCAAATTCAAGAAGATAAACATGTGTTTCCCATCCATGATTAGAAGCCCATTTCCATTATTTGCCATTATAAGCATTGTGTTTTTCTTCGTTACTTCCAGAATGATTGTCCTTGTACTGTATTATTTGTAACTAGTTTCAGGACTGTAAAGCTGCCAGCTGTTAGTGAATGGTGACCACATTTTTGAGTGTCCTGCCTCCGGGATTCTCTTCATTGCTGCTGAGGTCACTGGCTTAGGTAGAGATCAGAGGTTTTATTAGTCCTGACTTAGTGTCATCATTACTGATCATTCCATGCCTACTTGTGTCTTTGGCTTGTCTCTTCTCATTCCACGTGTTTTCCATTGGTGCTACATCAAGGGCCAGAGTTTCAGCTCCACACATTGATAAATCCCGAGTAGGTAGACTAAGACTCCTTTTACCCTGTAGACCAGCGGTTCTCAACCTGTGGGTCACGATCCCTTTGGGGGTCAAATGACCCTTTCACAGGGGTCGCCTAAGACCATCGGAAAACAAAAAGATGTTTACATTACGATTCATAAAAGTAGCAAAATTACAGTTACAGAGTAGCAACGAAAATAATTTTATGGTTGGGGGTTACCACAACATGAGGAGCTGTATTAAGGGGTCGCGGCATTAGGAAGGTTGAGAACTGCTGTTCTAGACCCTTCATTTCAACTGTTGTGGGACATTTCCACCAGGGTGGTAAGAGCTAACATAAAGAGCCAACAGATACTTGTGGCCAGATGGTATGCTAAGAGCTTTACAATCATGACTTAATTTAAGCTTTCTAACAATCCTTAGAAGTTATCATCCCCTTGCTACCGATGAAAAATACTAGGCTTGGAGAATCACGCCATTTGTAAGTGGTAGGCCTCAGGCTGGAAACAGGCTATCCAGAGTTTAATAGTAGACATGGACCCTTCAATTTTGGCTTGTACAAAATAGTAGTCATCCCAACCCCCTACCTCAAAACTTCAGTCTTAACCTTAAATTAGTCCAGTCCACAACAGATACCATCCTGTTCTTATGTCTTTCTTCAAGGTCCAGTAAGTTACAAGTTTTTAAATTCTGTCTCCTAAATTGCTCTGAAATTTACATTCCCTCCTTTCTACGCTAAACACTATAGACTTTGTACAGAGTATCATTATTTCTTACCTATTAGGCAATCTATTCCCCGCCCTTTTTTTCCCCCCCCCTCCTTTTCTCTTCTCTTGGGCTAGGAGAGAAGAGCTACTACAACAAACCACCATTTTTCTCATATATGTTCCTTTTAGTTTATTTTCTACTGTACCTAGCTTGGATGAAAAGATAGGACCGGGATGAGAACATTTAGTTTGGAGCAAGTAAAGGGTTTTTCTCATTTAATGTTTTCGCTTGCATCTCTGTAATAACATCTTTTATTTGCTTGTTTTCTAGGAATGTTTACCCTTGCGGAAGTTGCTTCACTTAATGACATTCAGCCAACTTACCGAATCCTGAAACCATGGTGGGATGTGTTTATGGATTACCTGGCTGTCGTTATGTTGATGGTAGCCATCTTTGCAGGAACCATGCAACTTACCAAAGATCAGGTGGTCTGCTTGCCAGTATTGCCATCTCCTGTAAATTCAAAGGCACACACACCACCAGGAAATGCCGATGTTACCACCAATATCCCGAAGATGGAAGCAGCCACTGACCAAGACCAACATGGGCGGACGACAAATGACATTTCCTTTGGCGCATCTGCTGTGACACCTGACATACCTCTCAGAGCCACATATCCTCATACAGATTCCACAGTTCCAAATCAGGAGGCGAAGAAAGAGAAGAAAGATCCAACAGGCCGAAAAACAAACTTGGATTTTCAGCAATATGTATTTATTAATCAGATGTGTTACCATCTGGCCCTTCCGTGGTATTCTAAGTACTTTCCATACCTTGCTCTTATACATACTATTATTCTCATGGTCAGTAGCAACTTTTGGTTCAAATATCCCAAAACATGCTCAAAAGTAGAACATTTTGTTTCAATATTAGGAAAGTGCTTTGAATCTCCTTGGACTACTAAAGCATTATCTGAGACAGCATGTGAAGACTCGGAGGAAAACAAGCAGAGAATAACAGGTGCCCAGACTCTACCAAAGCACGTGTCTACCAGCAGTGATGAAGGGAGCCCCAGTGCCAGCACCCCGATGATCAACAAAACTGGCTTCAAATTTTCAGCCGAGAAGCCAGTGATCGAAGTCCCCAGCATGACCATCCTGGATAAGAAAGACGGGGAACAGGCCAAAGCCCTGTTTGAGAAAGTGAGGAAGTTCCGTGCCCATGTGGAAGACAGTGACTTGATCTATAAACTCTATGTGGTCCAAACAGTTATCAAAACCGCCAAGTTCATTTTTATCCTCTGCTACACGGCCAACTTTGTCAACGCAATCAGCTTTGAACATGTCTGCAAGCCGAAAGTTGAGCACCTGACTGGTTATGAGGTATTTGAGTGTACCCACAATATGGCTTATATGCTGAAAAAGCTTCTCATTAGTTACATATCCATCATTTGTGTTTATGGTTTTATCTGCCTCTACACTCTCTTCTGGTTATTCAGGATACCTTTGAAGGAATATTCTTTTGAAAAAGTCAGAGAAGAGAGCAGTTTCAGTGACATTCCAGATGTCAAGAATGATTTTGCGTTCCTTCTACACATGGTAGACCAATACGACCAGCTCTATTCCAAGCGCTTTGGTGTGTTCTTGTCAGAAGTCAGTGAAAACAAACTTAGGGAAATTAGTTTGAACCACGAATGGACATTTGAAAAACTTAGGCAGCACGTGTCCCGCAACGCCCAGGACAAGCAGGAGCTACATCTGTTCATGCTGTCGGGTGTGCCCGATGCTGTCTTTGACCTCACAGACCTGGATGTGCTAAAACTTGAACTGATTCCAGAAGCTAAAATTCCCGCTAAGATTTCTCAAATGACAAATCTCCAAGAGCTTCACCTCTGCCACTGCCCTGCAAAAGTTGAACAGACTGCATTTAGCTTCCTCCGAGACCACTTGAGATGCCTTCACGTGAAGTTCACCGACGTGGCTGAAATCCCTGCCTGGGTGTATTTGCTCAAAAACCTTCGAGAGTTATACTTGATAGGCAATTTGAACTCTGAAAACAATAAGATGATAGGACTTGAATCTCTCCGAGAGTTGCGGCACCTTAAGATTCTCCACGTGAAGAGCAATTTGACCAAAGTTCCCTCCAACATTACAGATGTGGCTCCACATCTTACAAAGTTAGTCATTCATAATGACGGCACTAAACTCTTGGTACTGAACAGCCTTAAGAAAATGATGAATGTCGCCGAGCTCGAACTCCAGAACTGTGAGCTAGAGAGAATTCCACATGCGATTTTCAGCCTCTCTAATTTACAGGAACTGGATTTAAAATCAAACAACATACGCACAATTGAGGAAATCATCAGTTTCCAGCATCTAAAACGACTGACTTGTTTAAAACTATGGCATAATAAAATTGTTACCATTCCTCCCTCCATTACCCATGTCAAAAACTTGGAGTCACTTTATTTCTCCAACAACAAGCTCGAATCCTTACCAGTGGCAGTGTTCAGTTTACAGAAACTCAGATGCTTAGATGTAAGCTACAACAACATTTCAATGATTCCAATAGAAATAGGATTGCTCCAGAACCTTCAGCATTTGCATATCACGGGGAACAAAGTGGACATCCTGCCAAAACAATTGTTCAAATGCGTTAAGTTGAGGACTTTGAATCTGGGGCAGAACTGCATCGCCTTCCTCCCAGAGAAAATTGGTCAGCTCTCCCAGCTCACCCAGCTGGAGCTGAAGGGGAACTGCTTGGACCGCCTGCCAGCCCAGCTGGGCCAGTGTCGCCTGCTCAAGAAAAGCGGGCTTGTTGTAGAAGATCACCTTTTTGACACCCTGCCACTCGAAGTCAAAGAAGCATTGAATCAAGACATAAATGTTCCCTTTGCAAATGGGATTTAAACTGAGATAATATGTGCACGCCGGTGTGCAGGAACAACTTCCTAGATTGCAAATGCTCACGTACAAGTTATTGCAAGATAATGCATTTTAGGAGTAGATACATCTTTAAAAATAAAACACAGAGAGGATGCATAGAAAGCTGATAGAAGGCATAACTGAATGTTCAATGTTTGTAGTGTTTTAAGTCATTCATTTCCAAATCTTTTCTTTTTTTTCTTTTGGGGAAAGGGAAGGAAAAATTATAATCACTAACCTTGGTTTCTTTTTAAATTGTTTGTAACTTGGATGCTGCCGCTACTGAATGTTTACAAATTGCTTGCCTGCTAAAGTAAATGATTAAATTGACATTTTCTTACTATATCACCTTTTTTTGAGGTGTCTTGATTTACTTTGCTAAACTGGGGCAATGTTGCTTTAACTCAAACCACTAAAGACACATCAGGTCCAAACTTGTAAATTCAGATTTGCAGAATTATTGATTGCCTTCCTTTTAATATAAAGCACCTCAAATAAGCACTTCTTATAATATTTGACTGGTACCACTGCTTCTGAGAATTGCATTTTATAGATTTTACACTCTTAAAATAAGTCTGGAATGCATTAAAAGTGTGTAGCTTGTTGGGGGTTTTATTTGTTTTTAAAAGATAATTAAAAAAATAGAAAATAGCACTTACCTTAATAATAGCTGTTTTTCCCATAGTCTGGAATTCTATTATATGGTGCATTTTTCTATCAATAATATAGGGTTACCAGTAAATAGAAAATGTTTTTTAAAAATAAATTTATCTGATTATAACCAAAATAAAAATTTTTAATGGTTTAATGATTAACAGTCTTCCAGTATCACCTTTTGGAAAATAACACAAGATCAAAGCAAGTATTATTTAATTTCCTGTCCTGTTCTCACTGTTGAGGGAAAAAATTGAACTTGCATTTCATTGAGTTGGAAAACTCTTAACTTTCCCTATTTATTTTAGTGACAGGCTATATTTCCTGTGTTTGTCTGCAGCTAGGAAGGGGTTGTGTCCAGGGAAATGCTGTCAGAACATACGTTTTAGATGATAGCTGTCCTTTTTTATTTTCTTAAATATTTTATTGGGGAATCAGGGAAGGGGAACAGACAATTTGCTGTCCTTTTGTTCTTCAGTCTAGTTGTGGAGGACATCGCTTCACTGGCCCATGTTGGTACTGTGATCATTGCGCTCTTCCTGGCTGAGGCAGATGGGTCGCCAGCCCCTGCACAGCCGCTTATGGCGGCTCTTGGCAGCTCACACCGGCTGCCTGCCGCTCACGCCGGCTGCCTGCCGCTCACGCCAGCTTCCTAGCCACTCACAGTAGCTTACGGAAGCCCACTACAACCCCACTGCAGCCTACGCCATCGCTGGTGACTCATGGCAGCCCAGCTCCAGGTCGAGCTGTTGTTCACCATCTTAGCTGTAGAGGGCGCAGCATCACTGGCCCTCATGTGGGATCTGAACCGGGGCCCTGCTGCTCAGAGCTGACGTCCCAAGCCAACTCTTAACCAATGCACACTCAGCCGCCTGATAGTTGTCCTTCTTTATCTAACTTACCAACAAAGTGTCTAAATCCATCTTAAAAAATAAAAAAAATTTCCTGCTACCTATTTATGTATTGGCTAGCAAGTATTTCATATCCTTTCTATGGGGGGTTCTTTCTTCAACAGAAAAGAACTGTCTGGTGCTCTGGACGATAAAGAAGAATCCTCTCTATACAAGACTAGATTCACTTAATGACACACTGGGCATTCTCTTGTCACACCTTATTAAGGCTTGAACAATTTTGTAGAGAATGGAAAAAATGAACTCACATCTTTTTTTTTTTCTCCCAAGTACTGGACCCTGGAGGTACTGGTCTGTTGCAGGTGGTGGTAAACCTTTGCCTGCTGTATAGCTTGGAAATACTTGGTGAAGTCTTATCCCCAATCAAAAAGACGGCGGATACTGTGGCTCAGTTAGAAACCGACCCCTGCTCCAGAATCCTGGCCACTCCCTCTCCTAAAAGACTTGAGGCACAAGTCTAGCTTATAAAAGCCCAAGTTTAAAATATCAGAAGACAATGGCCAATTTTGGGAATAAGCAAGTTCTCTCCCGTGTACGTATTTTCCATTTCTCTCTCAGCACTCATTTAATATATTCTCTAGTATAGATTCCACACCTACTTTGTGCCTCACCAGTTCAAAGAACTGGGGATTCAGTGTTGGAATACATCACAGCCCCTGGCTACATGGAGCTTCATTGGAAACGGGTTGACAAATACTAATTATGCAAATAATACACAGGATTCATTACAATTGTAATATAGATGATGTACAGAATCTGTGAATGAATAATGGCTGGGAAGGGGAAAAACATTAAAGAGGAGTTTCAGGGAAGTTTTGTCTTATAAACCGCCTGTAAACACTCCCACTGGACTCGACTCACCCCCACCAGCTGCATAGGGCATTGTTCACCCTACTTAGTAATGCCCACACCAGAAATTGGTACAGCATTTTTAGAAGGATGCCACAGTGTCCTGTTTGTGAGAGAAAGAGGTCAGATCTTATGATCCTTGCTTTACAGACTAGGAAACTTGTCTTCCTTTCTTAACAAATGCATGTTTTTTTTCAAGGGCACAAGTGGCAGGTCACCCACTGCTTACCTCGCTTTTCAGAGAGCTGAACTGTAGGAGCTGGAGTCCATGCAACACTCCCAAAGCTTGACCACTGCCAGCTGCCCAGAGGCACCTGTTTCCTAATCAATACTTGGGGTTCAGTCACTTAGAACTGATTGGTGTTGCATGCCTTCAAACAATATCAAGGGATACCTTTTCTCTTACCCAGACTTCTGTTGACTTTATCAGCTCCTAATGATTTCCTTGAACTCTGAAGAGTTCATGGTCAATTGATTTAAATGTCACATTCCTTGCCACTGTTTGCAAGTAGCAATATTTTAAAGGCAGTTTCCTAAGAAATGCTGATTCATCTAACAGACTAAATGTGCTGGGTCTTAGAGTCTCAACAAAACAGCAGATGAGACTATGGGCCCAAATATACTACTAACCCATGTGTTTTCACAAATTGATGTTGGCACTGCACGCACCAGACGTGGGGGGAAAATTTACACGTTTTGGCTAACTAGTATTTTCATATCTTTTCCAAAGTCCCTTAAACCATCTAAAGAAAATCATTTTAAAGTACCTTTAAATGTTCCATGTCTCTGTGAGTCCCACAAAGGCTGAGAGGATCTGATTTACTTTTCCTGTTTGACTTTTTGCACCAGCATTCAGTTGGCTCAGCAGAGAGGATTTTTTCAGGGGGTCAGAAAGATGAGCTGAAATTGTTAGAGGGACCCCAATCTTAGTAGGAGAGATTGAGCAATTTAATAATAGATAAAAAAGAGTTCATTCTATGTACGTCCTGGCCTCCAGGTCTTAAACCATTTGACACTTTTCATATATAAAGGGGAAAAAAAAGTCCTATGTTTTATTAATGTTACCAGTACCACTTTCTCCAGCTGCCTCCCCTGGACTCTCTTTCACCCAGCAGCTCAACTCCAAGTTGCTGATGGCAGCAAACCCCAACATGCCCTTGGGACCTCCGCCCCGTAGTTTCCATTCACCTTGCTGAACAAAAGCCAGAGTCCTGTCCTCTTGCTAAGATTTCTGGCAGCACTTGCGTCAGTAATTCACTCCAATAAAATGGTCCCTTTATCAACAGAATCCCTAAACAAAGGCTGTACTGACAAAAAACCCCTTTCATGAGAAGAAGAAGGGGGGAGAAAAAGAAATGCTGGAAAACAGTTTCCAATGCCCTCTAACTTGTGACTGCGACACAAAGAAGTGGCCCCGTCTGGTCCTGGCCAGCTGTGACTCTCCTAGGACAAGTGCATCAGGTGTTCAGAGTGGTGTCTGCTGCGGGGGAGGGACAGAAGGACAGCCGGCCACAAACCATGGCCTCCAGTCTGGCCTAGCCTGAGTTGGCCATCATGTCCGTCTCCGGCATCAGGGGAATAAACCCCTTAGCTCATATGTCTTAAAACTCCCAAGAAGAGGAGCTGTCCTGGTTTCATCCCTCTGCCTCTGGGAATGTAGTGTACGATTGTCCCAGGTAAGTGTTGTCTTTCTTGTGGAAACGCACAAGATTTTCTGCTCAGTCACCCCTAAAGGTGTCTGTCTCATCGGCTCACATCCCCCACTCTCCGTCCCACTGCTGTGCGGCCCCTGATGGTCAGAACTGCCCCTGTCCTGCCTGGGGTCTCGGTGTCTCCTTTTGTTACTGCTAAGAGTCCAGGCTTGCACCGAGAGCCTGGGTTTGAATCCTGTGACTCAGCTGTAGGAGCAGAGCAAGCTGCTCAACCTCCCTCAGCCTCAGGGTATTTGTAAATGGGACTCATAAAAGTGCCTACCAATGGTGTGTTTTGTGAAGATAGAGCGAGGTGGTTTTATTTAAGATACGGTGCCTAGCAGATAGTAACTATGCCATAACATTCTGTTGTTAACACTTTTACCCTCAACTGTGACAGAGACCATTAGCCATTCCTCATATACATTCTCTCTTTTCTTGGTCATGCAATTTTCAGGGGATACTTGGGAACACAGAATAAAACGTGTATAAAATAAAACATGACTTGGGGCTAGATATGGCCATGTAACTAAATTCTAGCCAAAAAAGTGGGAATGGAAGTGGGATGTGCAATTGCTGTATCAGGCCCTTAAAAGAAAGGGCATGCTGTCCCCTTCCCCATGCCTGCTGGTTAAACTGCAGACATAAAAGAGTCCAGTGCACACTGCAGACCAGGCATGGCCCAGCAGCAGGACAGGAGAAGCCTGGGCTCCTGAGAATTGCAAGGAGCGGGGTTCCATAAAGGGAAGAAACTGGCTTGGTTAAGCCTCTATTGATGAGGGAGCTCCGAAACACGCAGCAAGTTCTAAAGATCTTGCTACTCAAACTGCTGTGCAGGAACAGGCCTTGGGAGCTTCTTAGAATGCCGAATCTCAGATCCCTCCCCAGACCTGTTGAGTCAAAATCTGTATTTTAACACAGTGAAATCCAGGTAATTTATAGGCCTGTTAAAATTTGAGAATCATTGTCCTAAACAACACACCTGTGAAGAACCAGTCAGCTGGTCAGAGGACTGGGAAGAGGATGGTGCTGATGACCAGTGGGTTCTGCCTCTCCCTTCAAGCCTTTTGCTGGGCTCTGGTAGGGGAGGAATTGGGTTTTTGCTGGTACCCATGGCTTATACCAACTTCCAGCACCTCCACTCCTCCCCCAATTGCTCCTGCTGGCAACCATGCCATTCATATCACCACAGCAACCACAGGAAGGCAAGGTGATAGTCAAGCTGCCGTTGTTCACTGCT